GCAGAGATCAAAGAGTTTCACTATCAGACGAGATCTGCTCTGAGATGCTGATGAGTGAAAAATAAACCACACTTTCTGCAAACGCCAGTTTAAAACACTGCTTTACTACAAACAATTGGTCTGATTTTTCAAATTCAGATTAACGCTCTGAGCTCTGAGGTCATTCTCTCTCTAATTTGTCCATCTCTTCTTAAACTCTCCTTTAAAGGCTCTTCATATATCATGATCCTCATATGTTTCATATCTAAATGCTCCGTTATCTTCATCACTACTTTCCAAAACCGCTGCAGCAGCTTCAGCAGCTGTAAACTCTCTGAGCGCCGTTTCACACGAGTCTCCGATGTGGACTGAATGAAGAATGAAGGGTTTCCGGCGTGATGGTCAGTCCTTAGTGATTTCCTGAGTGCCCATTTGTCAGTTTCACACAGAATGTAGACGAACACACGAATCCACCAGTTCCACACGGTGAGAGGCAGATGACGTGTGTCTCAGCCCCTCTTCATAGGCTCATAACTCCGGATGTGAATCTCGTATGATCTTGAGATAAGATGGAATGGAAAGGGCATGGATTGTATTCACTATCAGCCCAATCAGAATGAGTCTTTATACCACTGCGCTGATCTATCGCAACAGTCTCTGCTGCATGACTCAGGAGATCAGACGGTCAGATTGGTCAGAACAGGACTCGACACGACTGAGCAGAAACTGTACCACTCGTCCGCCTCAGCGACTCTCTCTGGCTGAACAGGCCGCAGGAGACCAGCAGCTACGCTTACACACTTACACACTCCTCTGACTCTCCACAGGACATGGACTTATTTGGAGGTTGTTAGATGGAGCTCTGGGGTGGGGGGGCTAGTGGGGGGGCTGTTAAGACTGTACAGGTCTCTTCATGTCCGAGATTAGATTTGAACTCATTCTGCTCTGCTGGTTATGTTTGAGAGAAAAGATCATGTTTTGAGTTCAGAATCGTTCCAGCATGGTCTTCTCAGCCACAGACCACCATAAACCTCAATGTGGTTTAGATGAATATTCACGTTCTCATCAGGAAGTAAATGTGCTGCCTCGCTGCTCAACTGTGCCTCAACAACATAAATACGAGCTTGTAGTTCCAAAGTCGGGGGTTCAGCGTTTTATTGGTCTGATTTACAGTCATAAATCAGTCACTTCAGATATGAAACCTCAGACTCTTTAATTCTGCTCTGCAGTTTAAGGACAGAAATGCTGAGTTTTAAGGACAGATTTACTAAAAGAGGCGCTGATTACTGACAGTTTCACAGCACTTCTCGCTGGTGGGCGTGGCCAATGTAGCAGCTTATTGACTAAGAGCTTCCACACAAATGAACACTAGTGCAACTTCTGAATTAAAACACTGGAAACTGCTCTTTTGATTCACAAGCTTTCAGTGGGAGCCCATTTCCACCAGGCTGTGTCCCAAACTGTGTACTACAGCACTGAATAGGGTGCAAAAAACAGTGCACCACCTTGAGAAGTGCGTTTATGTAACATACAGAAGTTCACAGTCTGATTCTGGTTTATGTTGCAATAATGACTTATTTTGATTCAGCAGCTAAAACGAATGACTAATAACTAAATAACACATCACTCCTTGAGGAAGTGTGATACTTTCAACATATGTCAATATTTTGATGAAATAAGAAATTATTTCAGCGTAATAAATAATAAATTGAGACAGTGATTATTTTGAGCTGATTCTGTTGGTTTGCGGAATTTGAGTTCAGTGTGTCTAGAACTGGAGTGATTTTGTAAAATCTAATTTTGCTGATCATTTCCTGCTCGATTGGGAACTGAATGATTTGGACTTGTAAGTGTAAATCACGGCTGTAAATCAGTCATTTTAGATATTAAACCTGGAGGCTCTGAGTTTTAGGGCAGATTTACTAAAAGAGGTGCTAATTACACAAACAGTGTTTTGTGATTTTGTGATGGTGGGTGTGGTTCAGTTTGGGGGTCCATGGTTTTATTATTATTGTACGTATGTTGAAGTGAATGCACATCCAGAACATCCAGAGCATCTAGAACATCTAGAACACAGCAGCCTTTCACCAACGCTGGAGCTTTAATGACAGTCAGACGGTCACACCTGTGGAAAAAGCTCTTAATAACGGTGAATACATGACAATAAATCTGAATTAAGGCGAGTCTGACCCGCGGCAGTCATTTTGTGTCATGACTAACACAGATGGAAACCAGCTATACAGGACTGCGGGTGGGAGCGGGACACAGCGGTGCAGGTTTTCGCGATGATATCTTGAGGGAACATGATAAAAGCCTGGTCATTTGCAGAGCTCTGATAGACAGCAGCCTCAGACACACATGACTAAAACAGCTGAGCGTTCAAACCACCTCACTGTGAGCAGATCAGCTGCTTCTGAAACTGTGACGAGGGTGTGAGTTTCACTGAGAGCAGGATGTTCAGCCTGAGGGGGTTAATTTCCTCACTGTGTCTGAACTCGTTCTCCCTCAGTGACTCCGACAGAGTTACGTCACTTTGCCTCACCTCACTCACTCTCCCAGATCAGATACACCGCTGTAGCTAATGAGCCGAACCAGGTGAGTGTGAGCAGGTTAAACTCTGAGGGTCTCAGTTCAGATGCAGTGCTTCGTATTTTCACTGCACAGTGTAGCAGAAACAGAGCAGAACTCTTCATTCTGCTCTCTGTTCAAATAAACTTCATGCAACAAAACTTTCATCTAGTGAATTTCAGGGTTAGTGATTCTTCATGAACTCAGTTACCAGCTGGAGGGTTTGAGGAGAAAGACTGAGGCAGTTGCGTTAAACTGAGGCAGATCATTAGTGTTTGGCTGTTCATCTGAAAGACTTTAGACTGACCACCTTTCTCGGTTTAAGTTTCAGTCTACGTGTGATCCACTGTGGCCTCCAGTGGTTTGGGCTTTAATTTAACACAGTAATGGTACATTGTCAGAAAAGGTTCTGTCATCGAGGTACTAACAATGTAGATGTTCCCTCAAGGTTAAACTGTGAACCTTAAATGAGTTTCTCCAGGTGAAAAGTTCGTATTTGTACCTTTTCATAACCGAATGTTTTAAACAGAACAGTAAAATAAAAGCCTGGAGGCGAGACGGGGTGTGTGGAGTCAGTACAGCTTAGAACATATCATTTCAGTGGATTATGGTTCAGTTATGTTCCCTGACTAAAGGCACTGAGATGGAGCCTTGAGGGTCCCACCCCAGTGACAGTTTAGTGCCCTTTACCCTATCTATAGGGTAAAATGCAGAGAGGTAAGAGAAACTGATCAGCGCTAATAATTACATAGCGCTGCACTAATGTGTGCGTCTTAGTGATTTCAGTTTTGGACGCTGTGTGATGCGACTGACGTAGAAGAGCAGGGTAACCCGAAGAGTACTGAAGTCAGAATAATCATGTTTTTATATAAGTGACATAAACATCTCTGCTACAAACCAACACTTGAACTTTGTTTGTAGTTCCTACCGTTCAGTACAACTCCACCCAAAATGAGGGAAGTGCAGTGTCACAGACAGATCAACTGATCTCTGAACACACACATCAGATTATATATGAACACTGACTGAGTCTGTGTGTCAAACAGTCACATTTATTTTAGTAAAGTAAATAAAAACATCAGTAAAATATGAACATTGTTTCTGAATAACTACAGCTTTACCAGCTGATAATGTCAATTTCATTAATAAACGTATTTAAAACCAAAATACTGACATCTGAAAGATCCTAATAACGCAGTAAACCTCAGTTTTCAGATGTTTCTCTGTTTCAGTTTAAAATCTGTAAACTGGAAATAAAAGACTGAATGTGCTTTATCAGTCTTTGTGTGCTGAAGGAGTCTGAGCTGTAACACTGTGTATGAACTGACCCCGCAGTGTGGAGGCTGGACTGAAGCCCAGCTGCACTGGCTGTGAGCTGGTCAGCTGCTTCATTACGGTGCTGCACTGTAGAAACAAGATGGAGATTAAAGTGATTGAAGGTTGGATTCTGTGATTCACACAAACGACCGAAAAAATGACCTACATGTCCTGAAAACACTCTTTGGCTCAGATCTCTTTAACACGCTGACCAGTCGCTCTGAATTTTGGTGGGAGACCGCGGCTGGGAAATGTGGTGATGTGGTCAGAAGCTCACACTGATTGACCTTCTATAACAATGGAACACGTCTGTGTTAAATTACCCTGTTGTTCCCTGCGCTCCTCTGTTTTTACACTGTATTTCTCTCTAAACTCTCTACAGTAGAATCCTCTAAAATATGGGGTGCTGCAGCCCCCTAACCAACCTCCCACATCACTGTGTTGCACTAAATGAAATTGACTTTTCTGAGCACTTCCTGTTATTGAATCATACTTTGGTTAGCAGTTAGCATATGCTACCAAGCTAAAGTTAGCTATAGCATAACATGCCCTGTTACATATATGACACTTTAAAATCCTCAGCAGAAAAAGCAGCTACTGAAACACAAACACATCAAACTCACACCTGAAATTTAATCTGCAGCATAAATCTGCAGCGCCCCCTGCTGGCTGCTCCCCTTCTGCTACATACGGAGTCCAAACAGTGAACATTGTTTCACACTTCATTCCATTTAATTTTAAATATGAAGCAAAACTCTGAAGAAACTTTGTGGAAAACATTGAAACGCTGAGCATATTTAGCTGCAGTCACTGTTTAAGCCAAAAAGCCGTTTCAGTTGTTTGTATGTGTGAATTTATTTAAATGGTTAGTTGTAGTTAATGTACTGATCTAGACTGCTAAGCTAGTCAATGCAGTGTCTAACATTAGCTAGCTAGCTAGGGAACATGCTAATTATGCTTATATGTTAGCTTGCTAATTGTTAGCAGTGCAACAATTAGCCTTAATGAACTGTGAGTTTAATGAACAGAGATAAGATTTTATTTTGTATCATAATGTAAATAAACGAGTCAGTTCCATTGAGGAAACTGGCTTTTAGTTACTCTCACTGTCTCACTTTAATTTTAATTTTTTTCAGGATGCTTGTTGGAGCGCCAAAGGAGAAGGCGGAGCCTAAACTGCAAGCCAATCGGACGGGAGATATGTTTGCTTGTCCAATCAGCACAGACCCCAAAGACTGTCAAAGAGCAAATTTAATCAGCTCAGGTAAAGTTTACGCTTTAATTAACAAAGTATACTCTTTAACCAGTGAAGCGTACTCTTTAACGAGACAAGCATACTGTTTAACGAGTGAAGCGTACTCTTTAACCAGTGAAGCGTACTCTTTAACGAGACAAGCATACTGTTTAATGAGTGAAGCGTACTCTTTAACGAGTGAAGCGTACTCTTTAACGAGACAAGCGTACTCTTTAACGAGTGAAGCATACTCTTTAA